TGGCCAGTTCTGCCACACAGAGTTATCGCGATTACAGAGTCGAAATCACTTTCTATTTTCTATATACTCCATTCTCAGTGCCTCCTCCTATGATTTCAAAGCAGGTAACTTCCAAATTTCAATTCAAATTCCTTTGCAAATATTGAAATGACCTCCACATTCAAAAAACTACTTGCGTAGTCTTTCCATTCTTTCCGACAAAGTTCTACTGGTTTGACCGATATAAAGTTTTAGACAATAGATAGATGTCATAAAACAAATAATATCTGCTTACGCCTACGCTCGGTAGACTGTTGTAATGTTTCACGAAAAGTATAACGCCTCTCGTAGGTATATGTTCGAAAATCAATTAGTTGATTGCTGACTTCAAAATACCGTATTCCACCATGAACATGAACATGGCGATTTAAAATCTTTGGGTCGATGATTTCTCGATAAACTTCTGTTCATGTACCTGTTACACATTTGAATATTTACAATCGAGGAACAACAATGTAAATGAACGATTCATAGTGGGTGTACCGAGCTTGCATGTACCGTATCGGGATAATTTTGCACGCGTTTGCCCTCAGCAGTGTTTCGTTCTTTACTTCACCAGATGGACGTCAGGTTATTGTTTCTGAGGAATTTGGGTGCAGCCGAAGCCTGATTTCTTACTGATGATTAGGTAGAATTTTTGAATATGCTAATTGCCGTGTACAGCTTGAATACAGGGGCGTGACGAGAGGTGAAACTGGTTCAGATATTGTGCTATCCTAACTTCATAATTATCAACACTAACAAATCAAAATATAGGAATTGTTGTGTCTTCAATGAAATAGTTAGCAGAAGAGAAATACCCCTTTGAGGTATAAAAAAAGGGTTGTAGACAATATGGCTCCCCGGGGAACACCAGCGAGAGCATGTTCATAAAAGTTTGGATTTATGTTCTATCTCTTCCCTACCTACTTGAAATTGACCCTATGGTAAGTTTTTTCTCAATACCTTTTGACTAATAAACGTAAAATGAAATCAAAAAAATATGTGAACCAAAATTATAGCAAACTGAAAACCGTTTACGAACACGAATAATAAGAAATACGAAATACAATAAATAACCATATTGTCTCTCCCTCACAATGAAATCAACTTTGTTTTTTTCCTCTTTCTACTCGCCACACAATATGTGAATAATCAGGTAATCTGTGATTTGCGATATTGATGACTTATTTATTTTGTGGAAATTCATCTCCAATTAGATATAGGAATAAAATACTTTGTCTAATTTCCACTTACTTGATGTATTAATATTAATACGACCAAGGTTTCGGTTTTTACACCATCATGTAATCCAGGTTGACGACCTCAACACAATCATTGCTTAGGTAGCTCAGCATGTACTCACAATTTCCAGTTTTAGTTAGTTCTTTCCTTTTTTTTTAGTTCTTCTTCTCACTCCCAAGTTATCTACTTTAAATTGTGAATTTATATTGTTGATTATGCTTACCAGAATAAAATTTACTTATACGCAAGTATAAATGTCATTTCTTACCCAAATAACATAAGTTTTGAGGCGGTTTTTCACAATTAACTCAAAAGGACGGTATATAGTTTCCCAAAAAAATAATTCTTAGTGAATTGAAAATCAATGAAAAAACAAAAAGAATGAGTTGTTTTATGGTGTCTACTGTCTGTAAATTCAATACAAACGGAATGATGAATAGCTTATTGAAATCCTATTCATCAAACGCCATCATGTTTTGCAACAAAACCATTCCATAGACTAGGTCATTAAAATTAGTTAGACAAGTCAAGAACAACAGGCATCTAGATGCCTATGAGAGCTTAGAAATAAGTCTTGTAATCTACCCTAGAAGTTTGACCAGTTCAAAGAACTCCATTTAAAAAAAAGACCTTGAAACGAAACTGGATTGAAAAATTATTTCACTAAAATGAAACTCCGGCAATCAATTACGAAATAGTCCTTAAAACAACATATTTTAGTAATAAAATAATTATTCTTGATATGAATTCAAGAAAAACTGTTTCTATTACAATTTCATGTACTGTTTCATGTACAATAATGTACTGTTTTTTGGATTCAAATACTCTAAGTTCAATCATCAGGAATTGAAATTGAACTCCTTTCGAGTGAAGAAACTGATAACCCAGCATGTCAAAAGTAGGTATACTTTGTCTTTAGAATCAATAATAGTTACTCTTGCCATATATGGCATTGATTCGAAACTTATAACTGATTAACGGAAAAACAGATTTTAAACAAATTTAAACAGATTTATGATCTTGATAATGGATGACCTTTTTTTTGAGCTCAATAGAAACACAGATTTCTTACTGAAATGAGCGTCGAGAATAGTGTCCAATCCTGTTGTGTGGAAAAATATTTCATTGGGTTTATCATGAGCCAGAAATGCTGATTCTAACTCCAAAACTTGAACAGCCCAATATAATACCTACATCCGCATGCAATATCGAACGCAATGTAGGTATTCCGTGAATTCAATTTTATACAAAGCAATTCGTATTTAGAAGAAGCGGTCGACGACTTATTTCAACCGAATAAAACATCGAGCTCGCTATTGCAATCGATTGGCCTGGTATTTCTCTGTTGCGGCTTCGAAACGTTCAAAATAGATCGGGATCGAACTCCGGCAGGGTTATATTTTCTGTGCCAAGTTCTTCAACCCATATATCGTTGGGAAATCATCAAATTGGAGTTGATTCACTTTTTTTTCAAATACGCCAACGTTAGATCGAATCTTTCCAAGGGATGTCCGTTGTAAGTTGTAGTATTAGCCAGGAAAGTAGATGTTTTCTGGCAGAATTGCTAGATTCCAGCAATTTCGGATGTGCGATGTAAATTATTATTCATAAAAGCACAATATCTTCACAAGTTAGATGTAGCAACTAAAAACTATCTGTTTTTGGCAAAAACCTAACTGTATAATAGTAGAACAAAGCCTAGAGGAGAACTTACCTGTTACGTGAATTTCGATCGAAGAATTCCTGATGTAGGTACTGATTTCCATAGAATTTTCATTCTAGGCCTAGGCCTGATGTTTCCAAAATCAGATGATGAACGACAGTAGTATCGAATTTTCCGAATTTTCAACTTTTGAATGTAGGTATCCAGGCAGTTCACTATGAGATTTTCACTATGAAAGGCTTTTATTAAACTGAGACACATTTTTCCATATAAAATAGGTTTTTGTTCAGGAATAAACACATTTTTTCGTTGCCATATTCTTGTTGTTAACAATTTCAATATGTTACCTTATTTAATAATAATGAAATTTAAACTCTGGTAAAATTGCAAGTTACACAGGAATATGTTTGAAATCTTCTTTTTCCGCACTTATTTACCCCCTTTTCTGCCTACGTCCCTGAGGGTCACACTGTACACTTTTCATATTAAATTGCCGCGAATATAATATCGTTATTCTTCCATTTCCGCGAAACTGGATAACACCGCCGATGTGAAGGGTTTCGATGCAATAAAGAAACTCGATATCGAAGCCCTTAATGCGATTGAAACTTCCTGCCGTACATAGTATAAATGAAATATGATTATAATGTCGCTGTCTGACACTGAGAATGAAAACTGTCAAATGATTTGCCAGAGAAGCGTCTGCAGATAGCAGTCTCTAGGCTTGAATACATTGCCATATTATTGAGAGAAGAGATTTCACGAAGCCTTTTTGTCACAGAACAAGATAGTAACACTTCATCAGGAAATAGCATATGAAACTCGTCCCTTATTATAAACTACCTATAGTTTCATAATATACTATTATATGACTGGTTTTAGAATATTTGTCCATGAATTTTAATCTTCAATAGCATTGAAATCCAATTGTTTTCAAGATTTTTGTTTATGAATTGCAATTTTTATGGCATTCAACAACATTCAAATTGAAAAATAAACATTTCTTGACATTTTTCAATAAATTGCCATATTGACAAACGTTTTTTTGATGCCAACGTAAGTTTTTAAGTTCGTAATTCATATGAATAACAGCTCTTCGTTGTACATCAGTAAACGATATTTTCACTCCATACAATAGAAAACTCATCATGAAGTCATTTCAATTGTTGTTTTTCTGTAACAGTTTGACATTTGACAAAATTTTACAGTGATATCCAGCTAGAATTTTGTAACAGACTAATTGAAATTTAACAAATTACAAATTTTTCTACATCATTAGTGTGCCCATGTTATTGATATTGATTTATAGTCAACATTCAGCTCTTTCATGTGGAAAAACTATAAAAGCAATCTCTAATCAAAAACCGAGCCACAAATTAACCTTCAAAGCGTATCCCCTTTCATCTATAATCATTTCGGTCTTTCAAAGCACCTCCACTTCCCATAAAATCCCCTTGACTCGGGCTACGACAGAAACAAAACGTCTACGCAGGAAAAAGTGACAGCTCGTTACGTTCAGCGTCATTTTAATAAATTACATCGGATTCGAGTAAAACACGAATCGATATCAATTAATTCGACATGATAGTTTCGAAGTAGCGTATCAAATTCAACCGGTTAGCAATAACGAGGCTTCTCGGCCTTCAATAAGTAATAAGTATAAGCACGAACAATCAATACCAGTCTAGAGTACGGCGCACCAATGTATCCACTTGTCTGAACAAAGAAGCATCGAATGTACTCCTCCGTTATGCGTTATGATATGGAATATGGGCGTATCAAGGGCGGAGATTACAACGACGTTCAACAAGTGTGTTTTATTTATGAAATGAGACACCGCCCAGCTGTCATAACCGAGACCCTGGCTGGCTCTTGCCCGACACTTTATCATCTCCGCGCCTGCTCTCAGCTCCCTCCCCACCACTTTCATATTTCGCTTAATAATATCTCGACCTATGCCACTCGCTCCGCTCCCTCGCCCGACAGTTATTACACGCGATGTACTCGGCAGAGCAGACGTACCTGCTCTTGCGTTTCTTTTCTCAGTTGGCTCACGATAGTGTTTTGTTCGCAGATGGCCGTGGTTCCGACGCACCGCAGGACTTGCCGGAGGTGCTCATGTGTCAACGGTGCCGAGAGCAGTTCACAGAGGCCCAGGACTACGTCGCGCACAAGGCAGAGTGCGACAAGAAGGCTATCAAGCACGGCGATCCCGCGCATTCCGACCCCGAGGACATGGTTGTGTCTGAGGAAGACGACGACGAGGACGAAACAAGCGGTAAGAGCATAGAGCGCTTGCGTAAGCACCGTCAGGACGCCGCGAACAACAACAATAGCGATAATTCCGCGGACGAAAACGGACAGAGAATGGGATTTCCGTTTCCCGTTCCCGCCGCCCCTGGACACGTCACTCTGGAAGCGCTGCAGAACACCAAAGTCGCCGTGGCTCAGTTCGCGGCTACCGCCATGGCCAACAACACCGACAACGAGGTTGCTTTACAAGAATTTGCAGTGCTGCAGTCTACTCTCTTCACCCTGCAACACCAGCAAGTGTTACAGCTGCAACTCATCAATCAGCTCCAGCACCAGCTACAAATCGACAGAACGAAAGAGGACGAGGAAGTTTGTCCCAGCTCGCCGCCTCCATCGGAGAACGAGGCGGAGATCACTCCAGTGGAATCTTCTCCTGTAGCCCAGGTCACTCAAGAATCTCGGGAACCCACTCCGGTGCCGTTACCGCCTCCGGCAGTTCAGCCTATCGCTCCGCCAGTGGCAGAGCCTGAAGTCTCCGTGCCCCAGTGTCTACCCCCGCAGATACCGCCCCCAATGTGCTCCATATCCTCCTCGTTAGCGTCGACTATAATCACGCACAACGACGAGCAACTCTGCGAAGAACCCAATACCCTGGAAATGCTCCAGAAACGGGCACAAGAAGTATTGGACAATGCGAGCCAGGGCTTGCTGGCAACTAATTTGGCAGACGAGCTTGCGTTTAGGAAAAGCAAAGGCTCCATGTCGCCTTACGACTCCAAAGGGCGCAACGAACCATTTTTCAAACACCGCTGCAGGTACTGTGGAAAAGTCTTTGGGTCAGACTCTGCCCTACAAATACATATCCGTTCTCACACCGGGGAGCGCCCCTACAAATGCAACGTCTGCGGTAGCCGGTTTACCACGAAAGGAAACCTCAAGGTGCATTTCCAGAGACACAGCCAGAAATTCCCGCATATCAAAATGAATCCTAACCCGGTGCCAGAGCATTTGGACAAGTATCATCCCCCGTTGCTGGCACAGCTCGGGCAGCAGTCATCTCTGTCGCCGGTAGGGCCTCAGCATGGACCTCATCTAGGGTTTCCGGGAGGGCATCCTTTTCCACCATCGCCTCTACCGCTGTTTAGACCTGCAGGTCCGCCTCCACCAGAATTAATCAACAGCAGGCTTCAAGCGTCGCCGCATAGGCTGCTGGACCCTACGTCCAGACTATTTCCCGCACACCATCCTCTGTTCCTCAAGCGGGAGGAGCAGGAAATCCCAGCGGATCTGAGCAAACCACAAAGATCTCCAACACCTGTTGAGGACAAGAGTCAACTGGAGCAAGAAGTTGGCGAGAAGAGAGAAAGGCTCGACTCCACTGGAGAGCAAACAGCTGCGATAAATACTCCCCAACTGACGCCAAAGCAGGAGCCTATTTTGACTGACAACGAGACTGAGATCGAGCAGGAGAGGTATCCCTCGCCGATACCCTACGACGACTGCAGCAACAGTAGCAAGTACAGCAACGAGGACCTCTCGGAGCACAGAAGCCCAGTTGAAGAGGCCGGCGAAAACATGCAGGATGAGCCCGAGAACCTGTCGAACAGAAGTAACTCCATGACAGTTCCTTTGAGTATATCGACAGGACAGAGACTGCCGGCCAATTTTTCTTTCGCTAACGCTTCGTCGCCTCCAAGCAGCACATCCTCTGGCAGCCTAGGACCTTTCCCCAGCACTCATTTGCCAGACATCACGAAGGATCCTTCGATATACACTAATCTTTTGCCGAGACCCGGCAGCAACGACAACTCCTGGGAGAGCCTCATTGAAGTCACCAAAACCTCCGAGACTAGCAAACTGCAGCAGCTAGTGGACAATATAGAGCACAAGCTGTCGGACCCGAACCAGTGCGTGATTTGTCATCGAGTGCTTTCTTGCAAGAGCGCCTTGCAAATGCACTATAGAACCCATACAGGGGAGCGACCGTTCAAGTGTAAGATTTGTGGGAGAGCTTTTACGACAAAAGGGAATTTAAAAACGCACATGGGCGTGCACAGGGCGAAGCCACCAATGAGGGTGCTCCACCAATGTCCAGTGTGTCACAAGAAGTTCACAAACGCTTTGGTGCTTCAGCAACACATTCGCCTACACACGGGCGAACCCACTGATCTCACTCCGGAACAAATCCAAGCAGCGGAAATCAAGGACTTTCCTTCTCCAGGTGGATTTCCGAGTCTGTCCAATTCCATGCATCCGTTTCTCGGTCAGGGGTTCTCCGTTCCGGGTCTTTCGCCTCTGGGGCACTCCGGCATGAACATGAACAGGGATATCAAGTCTGAGCACGGTAGTATGGACGATGACGATGATGATGACGATGATATGATGTCAACGTCGGAACACCAGAATATGCCCCCTTTCTCTAGCTCCCCCCCAGAGATGCACAGCAGGTCTATGCCTCCAGTGAGCACAATGGCGTCCCAGTTTGGCATGGGGGGTTTGAGCTGCTCCGCTGAAGATCTTTGTTCCAACAGGACGACTCCTCCTCCTATGCAGAACGGGGAGAAGTCGCCTAGTCAGTCGGGGGTCACTAGCCCTGGAAGTTCGGAGTTGCGACCGTCACCAAATCAGACACCAGTCCAGGTAAGAATTTTCTCTAATCTTCCATTCCTCCAGCACTTTATAGGTTATATTTTTGTTCCGTTAAACCTTGGGTCTAGTTCAGTAGTTTTCATTCGTTAGTTGGAAAAAACATACAGCAGTCTTTAAAGTTTTGCCACGCCTTAAAACTTCTATTAAATCCCCAACTTCTTAGCCTGATTGTCAACTCTTGAGAGAGTTTGTATATTTTTCAATATATTAGATGTTCTTGAAAACATATTCTTATGATTTTTGCTTTCTAAAACATTTCAAAAAGTTTTTCAACAGTTTAGTTATGTGAAACTGAGTTAAAAAAGTTACTAATTTAGAAAGTTACTTGAATATACATATACATGAAAGCAATAATTAGTTTCCATAGTTTCAAAGCTTTGTAATTTCCACGTTAAATCTAAATAAAAAGTTGGTGCGTCCAGATACTCTGGATGCATATCTCAATTTTATACTTTTTACGAGCTGCTTATCATTAAAAAATATTATTTCATTCTAAATCAGTACTATAATTTCTCTTACTTTCATATTGTTTTCATTTGTAACAGTTTCTTCTAAATCTCCGTGTCTGCTGTTGTAAGAATCTTATTTTCACACTAATTTCCCAGCATCATTTTTCACTCATAAATGTTCACTGTTCTTGTCCTCTGTTTTTTGAGGCCATCAGTTGGTTTTTCACGTATAGTCAGTGGGCATACTTGAAGACTGGCTATAAATCAAATCATCTAAAAGAACAATTCGTTCAGGCCAGTCTCAACACCCTACACAGTAGGTTAATGGACTGACACCTATCAGAAAACAACTACTCCCCTGGCTAATACCACGAAGGGCGTTGGATTATATCCGAC